TATAACTCACTGATATAGTGTCCCTGAATTCAATCCCCAGTACCATACACACACACACACAAAAAAAAAAAAAAAAAAGATCAAGACTTTTTTTTCAGTACACATGATAAAGTACAACTTCATTACACATGATGCTTCTCATGCTTCTTAGTACAATGTCTCTTTAAGAAAAATTTTACTTGCTAATCACCAGAAAAGACCAAGAATGAAAGGCTTCCCAGCTAATGTCATAAAGCTCGTCATTTTTCTACACATTTTTCCCAGAAGTCTGAGTAACAGTGCATCTTTCTAGATAGGCCCCAAAGCCAAAACATTTTCTAGTCTAGACCAGGTGGGCAATTTCAATGAACCAGCAAGTTCATGATTTTCTATTAGAATTCTAATGTTCTCAGACTTTTGTTAATTGACTTAGATACAAGAAAATTAAAAAGGTAGCAAATGAAATTTTTATATGCCCCAGGCAAATGGCAGAAAGAAGCAGGACTCATTTTTCCTGAATAACCAGGTACCCACTCAATCATTTACAATTATTTCATAATTAGATTGATATTTCATAAGATAGAAGTCTTTGCAACCATTACCTTCAAATGTGTCCTTATCACTGCTATGAAAGTGCAGAGCACGGGCCAATTCTTTGGGTTGCTTTTTTCCACAATCCTGTTTTCAAGGAGACTTTACATTTATTAGGTCATTAAACTGTCCAAATCCAAACTATTTTCATATTCTTTGCAATGATCATATTCTATCACCCACACCACCTAAAAATATCCTGCTTTCCATCACTCAACAGAACCACAAAGGCTATTAGAAGGCAATAAAATCCCTAGATAGTATCTCTTTTGTATAWCTGCACTTCCCTCTGATCAATTAGATTCAGAGAGATTGGAGATGGGAAATGAAGGAAATAAAATTCAAGCCTCAAATCCTTATCTTAATTCCACAAATAGCACTGACAACCAACAATTGGTGAGGAAAGAGCTCAACCATGAAGGCTTTCCTGCTCTGAACTCAAAGTTAATTATTATCCAAAATTCATCATTAAAATGTATAACATGCTCCTCTCTACTTCCCAGTGGAAATGTCATAAATGATGATCCTGTCCTAACTCAGGGCACATGTCAGTATTTGTGTCACTGTGGGAAAGACAGGTCTAAATATATTTATGGTAGACAGCATCTCTTTGTTCAAAAAGTTTTTTTTTTTTTTCAAATAACCGATTAGAAGACGCTCCATTTCAGAATTTTTCAAAAGTGGTAAGACAATTTCTATTTGCCTGTCTCCCATCTGAGCTCCTAATTTGGAAATATGAGGGCTTAAAAGCCCACGTTGTTTGTGATTATCTATTTATACACATTCTTTCCTTTTTCTAATGGGCCTTTGTCTTGTCGTAAGGGTTCTTCCCACTATTAAAATGTAGTAAACCCAGAAGATCAAGACAATTAAGGTTAAAAAATGTCAACACTTGTTTTTTACAATGGAAGTTGAGTCAGAAAATATTGACACTCCCAAGATTGCCCAAAGTGGCTATCCTACACAGACAAATGTAATAACAAATGAAATAACAGAAAATGACAGCTAACTCACCTCTATGAAACTAGTCATGTCTTTGGCTAAGTCTCTTTAAAAGAAAAAAATCAAGCCACTCCCCTTCTCACAGGTACATCTACTGCTGACTTTGTAAACAGCTTCCAAAGACATCTATCTACATAATGCCAATCAGCACAAGTGACCTTCCCAGTGGGGTATCAGCTCCCATTGTGCCTTTATGTTAAAAAGGCTCTTCAAGAATGGAGTAGTCTTAACTTTTAAATACTAACATCTGACAYCAAATGAACTTCAGAGAGACACCACAACATGCTGCCATGTTCAAAAGTACTTGTCTCAGTGTCTGTGCAAGGCAGGTACCCAAACAAGACTGGTATCTTCTGTTCTCTCCAAAAGATACTTCCAGATGTAAAGGATATTATTTTCTCTTTTACAACTAAAATAAATATCTTAGTGAACTTGGTATATTTATCCTTAAGTCTGTTTTGAGAAAAATAAAATAAAAGCAAGTGGAAGTCAAATAACTATATCGAATGAGAAGCAGACGAGAGGAGGGGAAAAGAGTGGAATGGAGTTTAAGAATGGGAGAGGAGAAAGAAGAGGGGAGGGGTATTGTGAACTGGACAGGTTTGCTATTTCCCCAAACACATTCATTCCAGTAAGATACTAAAACAGGAAAACATTTTCATTTTCTTTTCTGACAGCTGGGAGCACAAATGGTTGCAGCAATAATATCAGAAATTGTTGGACATTTTGAGCATTCTTGCTAGTGAAAAGCCAGCATTACAGCCAACTTGAAATACTTAATGGCYCCAAGGTGCCCTAGAAATTTTGTTTTTCTGATGCATGAATGTCAGCTGCAGGACGAAAGTGATGTATATTGTCTGGTGGGCAGCATGCTGGCCAGACACCAAATTTAGAGTGTCTCCCTGTACTCTGGGTTCCAGCTCAACTGTCCTTTACAGCCATTACTACCCCACAAACATGAGTTTCCTCCAAAGCAAATCAAAACTGGGAGTACTATTTAAGATCCATCAACTCCCTACCCCCCAACCCCCCGCAAAAAACAACAACAACAAAAAAAAAAAAAAAAAAAAAACCCTCAGTTCTGTCTTGTCATCTCTACAAATGCTTCAAGAAGCTGGTCTGATTCCAAGACAAGTTGAAGATAGCTGAATACCAAGGAAGTGGATTATTTCCAGTCCGATCTAGATAGGGCCTGTCAGGGGAGTCTAGAAAGCTCCAAGAATAAGAGTATTCAGGCCTCATAATCTTATACACATTTAAGTAAGATGTCCTTAAATACATAAAATAGCCACTCTAATTTAATCATCTGCTTATGAAAAGGGCAACATTATAAATTGAAGAATTGGTAAGTCAAATATTTCACTCATAGGAATTTTTAAAATAMATCTGACATCAAATGAACTCCAGAGAGACACTTCACATTAGCCAAAAGGTACTGGCAAACATCTGAGATGTAGCTGCAGGTACCAATCCTGATCCGAGGGAGCATTACTACGGCCTGAAGCCTTCATTATGATGCCATTTGCTCTGCCTGCATGATCAGAGTTTTATCGGCTATGCTTTTTTTTTTTTTTCAATAAAATCTCCAGGGACTTCTCCATGGAAAGAAGAATCCCTGGAATTTTTACAATATTTGATAAAATTTCTAAAATCTATATGAGGATAATCACGAYGGAGAGAGACATCAGACAAATAAGAAATCCACACCCCCCAGATTTTCCARTCACTCCACTTTGCTAACTATTCACTGTTTCCTGTCTCTCTAGAGTGTCTAGAAGAATCATTAATAGCCTATGAAGATAAAATGGAAACAACACATATCCATCTTCAGTGTGGATGACAATCTCGGGCAGTAAATAAACAAGAGGTGGCATGGGGGAAGGGAGAAGAAGTGAGAATACCATGTATGTTGCTACTTCAGAACATGCTTTCAATAACCATGCTTCAACAGTGACTCAGAAGTAGAAAATTGGCATGAGTCAATAAAACAATTTTTCCACCTATTCTTTCTGCTATTATTRAGCAATGTGCTCTTGAGACTGGAGTTCTTTTCTAAGCCTGTGATTGACTTTCTGATTGATAAACATTATAATATAGTCCCTATTCTTTTATAAAGCTGAAGCAGTCAAAACATCTTAATACATATATTTAACCTATACCCCTCTCCAATTTGTTCTTCATATTAAAATTTGCCATCTACTAAGCAGATATTAAATGAAGTCTATATAAAATATAAGAAACAGGTGCAACATCMCATGAAATTCATACTGTCATGATGTATGTATGTACAAAGACATAAAACATTTGATTTTGTAACTAACAAATGATAACCAAGGAAAACTGYTTCTTTGTAAATTATCTGGCATTTATTTATATAATATTATTTATACCACACAAAAAAGTGCTCAGAAAATAAAAGGATAACCAAGCAATCCACAGTTTGGCATTATGAGTAAAATTTACTGAGCTGAGCTAATTTTTCCACTAATGATTTGTTAAAGAAATATTTTTTCCTGAAAAATAAGTGACACATGTCATTATCTTAAACGAAGAGCTAATAAAAGAAAGGAACAATGAATATCACCAACAGTTCTGAGCTTAACCAACAATAATGCTTTAAAAAATGAAGTATTAGATTCTTTCCCTGAAGTCATCTCAGATCATTAACTTGAAATTATAACTAATAGCAATTTAAAGCTATACAACAATTTTTAAAATAATTTGAAATCAGGAATATAAAGCTCATGTACATTAATCAAATATTTCTAAAACCTCTGTCTTATTTTTTGGTTCTCATTATAACTGATTCAATGAGACATACTGATTGATGTTATATTGTTTATTTCTAATCAAGACAACTGGGTTTTTTTCTCCCAATCAATTCATCCTTCCATCTTGGATAGAGAAACAGAGAGAGGGTACAGTTGTTTGAGCTAAAACAAATAGCTTACCACTATAACTTTCTACCCAGAAGTCCAACTTTCCACATTGCATTATATGCATAAAACAAAATTTCAAATTCTCACATCACTACAGTATTCAGAGTCCTACCAAACAACAGAATATATTATGACTTATTTAAAACATCTAACTGCCACCAAAATGTTTTTTCTCAGATCTAATCCCAACTCTAAACTAATCAAGTATCCAGTTATTTCAACCAAAGTAGAAATACCATAGTAAWAATTTAGCCTCAAGTGGATTATTTTCTTGCATTATTCAACTGAAATACTTTAAAAGTTCAATGGTCGGCTATTTTTCTTCCCCATCATATTGTGTTGTCCCAGACATATGTAATTGCATTCACAAGTACACAGTATAGTACTATCCACAGGCTAAAGAATAAGACAGCTAGCATAATGCCAGGAACCAGGCATCTTCTCCTTACAGCAATAACAACCTTCCCTCCAACACATAAACATCACTACCTTTTAATGATTGTGAGCTACACAGACAAAAAAGTTTTGATTTCCTGCAGATCCAGGTAGCACACAGCCTTTCATCTTTTCTAATAATCAGCTCTGATGTCACTGAAAAAAAAAACAAATGCAAACTCATCCTGGACTCTTCAGTGGTTTACTCTAATCAAAACCTTTAACAATTTTCTTGGTTTCAAGGTATGATTTCCTTTTTATTATTGTTATATTAACTAAAGGAATCTTGCCCAATAAGCACTCCAGATAATGTGCTCAAGAAAAACAATCCCAGTATAAAATGCAATAGAAACAATTGGTACAAAGTTACATAAAAAATACAGCAATCTTAATCTTAGTAAGATTATTGATTATAACCAGAGTGAAGTTACCCAAGCAACCACTCTGAAGCATGGGCAATAACCAAATGCATCTTTATTACAGTGGCTCAATGTCTTGAAGTTTGCATAAAGATGTCAGATGTGTTCACGGCAAAAAGAAATTCCTCTGGGATATAAATGTTTATTTAATGGGCATATGACACTAGAATATAAATATCTACAAGCAAAATCATMTAAACAGAACAAAAATAAGAGTAAGGCAAAAAACCTAAGATTGATTAGTTAGTAGTAAAATCATTGAACTACATCAAACCACATATAATCACACAGACACATTCACTCTTGCCACAGAGCTGCAAGTGGTCTATTTTTATTTCTAAAATGTGATACACTTATGTAAGTATTATAACCTAAACATTTAGGAGGAGTATTTAAAAAGATTCCAAAATTATGATAGATAATATTAAATCAACCTGTAACAAACAAAATACACCGAATGCCCAAACTTGCTGTCATTGCTAATGACAGATTGATCTATGTAAAAATCAGCAAGAAGTGTGTGAAATCTCATTTATGTCCTTGTGTTTCAACAGCTATGTRTCAATTGAGAACGTTCGATCACCTTCAGGTATCGTAGACAATCTTTGGTGATTTGGAGAATCTACAAGGCCACAAAGTTGATAGGTGGAAAACATCTAGGAAGCCAGAAGTTTCCATTTTTCAAAGAAAGTGAAGAAATTCTTACCTTTCTGTACACCAGCATGTTGGGTGATTCATCTGCCACCCCGTTGCTGGTCTGCCCATAATTATTCCCCTGGGCCATGTCACCCAAAACTTGGTGGGCTCTTAGACACAAGAATTACCAGTCTGCCCTGCAAATGGTTAGAGAGACTTGAGTGAGATACTAGAGACAATGATAAAGAGGTTGACTCCCCGATACATCTTCATATTTGCAGCTCCACATGGAGCATGCTTACAAGCCAAGGATGGCTGGGAGGAAGTGACACAGGACATAGATTTTAAAAATAAAAATAACAACTCACACCTACAGTATCCCCAGGGAATGTAGAAATTAAAATCGTTGGGTTAGAAATAGTTATTGGCCTACGGTGTTAACTGACTTCATTTTCTGGGTACTTATTTTTAAAAGCGTGAAATGCTCACCTTAAAAACCCATGGTTACCATTTCCATAGYGCCAGTGCCGGGAGTTGTTTTCTCTCCCAATACTTGCATCTCCACTTGCTTGTGTTTTTCCAAGAGTGGAAAAGCAACACCCAGGGGCAGCACACTTTCTCCCAGGCATCTTTCTAGCTGCCACATGCAGGAGCATCCGAGAGGCCCATTCCCCATGTCATTCCCCAGCACATGTGCTTCTTTATTCCCCTGGGTCTCCCACACCGAGCCAGGGTATATATGCTTCGCCTACTTTTCACCTGCCTGCACTGCTAGCCACTGTCTCCTGTCCGCTCACCCCACTTCACTGGGTCAGTCCAGATGCCATTTGACTAATCTTTGAAGAAACTCAACGGAATATGTCCCAGGGACAAGAACTGATGGGAGGTCAAATCTTTAGGTAATTACCTGGACCACCATGAATAGAAACCTAACTGCTGAAGCCTCAAAGCAACCGGCGAAAGAGGAGGAAACAGGCAAGCCCTGGGTCCCCTTGCCTGGCTCTCCTAGCAGCTGCAAATGGCAGGCGCGCCTGTGCCCCGCTCGGTGAGGCACTGCTGGAGCCGGGCAGCAGTTTCAGAACCGTGGACCGCGGTGTGCACTCAGCGCCCGAARCCCAGCCCCGGAGCGGAGCTCCCAGGGGCGGACGCCCAGTGCCCGTGGTCGCTCCAGCTGCGCAGAGCCAGGGCTGGGTGCCGGCTGGGGACCGAGAGGACTCCGGGTGGCGCCGCCTCCTCCTCTATTTACCTTCTCGGCCAAGGTCACGGCCCCGCGGCGTCTCCCCTCTGGGGCGGGCGGAGTGCAGGCGGTGTCAGCTGGCGGCAAGCGGAGCAGCGAAGCAGGGCAGCTTCATCACACTCGGCGGATGCGGATGCCGCGCCGCCCCTGCTCTCACTACTCAGGCGACCGCCACCCTCGCCGCCGCCCGAACACTGGCGGCTCCGGCAGCCGCCGCTCGCGCCCGCTCCCCCGGGCCGCCTCGCTGACTCGCTCCCTCCTCCGCTTCTCCTCCCGGGGACTGGGACCAGCCGAGCGCGCGCGGGAGTCGAGACGCCCGGCCCGTGCGCGCGACTAGGAGGAGGGAGGAGGCGACAATCACGTGGGACAGGGGCGTCCGGAGGTGCCGGCTAGGTTGGGCTCCTCTCGGCCGCTGCCCAGCCGCTCGGGCCTCCCCAGCCTCGCTCCCCTCCAGCCCCTGAGAGGCGCGGCCCTGCCCCCGGCGCGGCCAGCCCACGCTCTCGCTCACCCCGCCCGCTCCGCTGAGGACCCGGAGATCCGAGCTTAACGCCCAGTGTAAGCCRGAAAGGAGGAAGGGCTTTGGCGATGGATGGATGGGTGGGTGAGTGGGTAGATGGATGGATGGATGGATGGTTGAGACTCGGTGCAGCTGGCAGGTTTCATCACGTGCCTGACGACTCCGCTGACAGTACTAGGGAAGCAGATGACTGATTATTGTTATGCTTAACTAACGGTGGCCAGATATTGAGATATCCTAAAACTGGAAGGAACGTCCAGGACCAGAGGGATCATTGGGCAACTCCCGCCCCCACCCCACCCCCACCCCCAGTTTGCCTGAGGCTTTCATAGTTTCCTCCTAAGTTGGAGAAATGGGAAAGAATTTGGAGATGCCAGCCTGGGGTGGAAAATCTTAAAATGTGTGATATTGGAGGAATATTCCTAATGCCTCTGGCTTTTTTCAACAGAGTGGAACTTTTCTCTTGCCCACTGTCACCCTCTAGCAATATTCACAGAGGGTCTGGTATTACTGATTCTCCCCCATCCCACATTATTATTCAGACTGCTGCCACTAAGAGGAAGCCATGAAAGAGGAAGGTCACTTTTGCCTGGGTACTATTAAAGAAACATTTGAATCCAGGTTTCAGGGGCAAGGTCTGGAAGTTATAAATACCTGAGATAGTTATCATCTGTCTGCTAGACTAGGTGTAGGGAAAGTGAGGGAGAGAGAAGATAATTATTTAAGCATGMGCCTTCTTAACCACTTTGTCCAAGCAGAGAAGATCTAACACCAGATCAGGACTACTCTTCAAATGCATCACCATGTGTACAGTGCATTTCCTCAGGCCCTGTCACTTGTCACTCAAAGGAACAAATGTTTTTCTAACCATCCCCTGTTCTAAGTACTCCAGGATGAAGATTATTATCCCAAATGACTTCGCCCACTCCGACCCCTTGCCCGCTCTTCCCCAATTCCCCATATCTTTCAGGTGTCCAGCGAAACTCCCTGTTTTCAACTTCTCTGAATATTTTCTTAACATTCTTGCCCTGGCTAAAACCTGCTTCTTGCCCTTCAGCCCCTCATTCCTTTCCTTTGTTCAAACTATTCTTGGAAAGTTGATGTAGTTCACACTAATAAATTTGGAGAGAATAATTGGGCATGTTCACTAGGCTTCACCATTTTCATCCCAAAAGGAACTGCCTAAAGGATTGTTGATGGTCAGTGACATTGCCAGGCAAAGGTTAAGAAAGAGGATTCAAGCAGTAGCATATTTCACCATTTTTCTACTATTATCATTAAACCTCATTATACACCTCATAATTTGTGTCACTGTATATTGGGAAAATTATGTTCATGGCCTTAACATTTCAAAGACACTAATTTTTTAAATATAAATGGAGGGAATCAGACTAGATTTCTCAAAAACCATCTTAAGACTTTATTATATTCTCTTGTGTTTTCTACCCATTTAATAGAAAAATTTATACTTGAAAATAAGAAAAAAAAGGCATAAATATTATAGAGGGATTTTTTTTCCTTTTTGATCTGTTTCTTGCTTTGAAAACGTGCAAATATGATGCAATTCCCAACCATTATCATCCAAAACTCTATTTCATTATTTTCCTCATGAACCCTATATTCTATAATATTTTATTAGACAAATTATTTTCATTCCAAATAAAACATTTGAGTAGCATTTAAAGACCAGTGACCCAAAGTAACTTAAACCCAGTCCCCAAAAAACACATTTAAAGACTTTATTTCTAAGTTCAGCAGTTTTACCTTGGAAAAAAATAAATCGTATTTGTGTTTTTGAAATATAGGAAATAGTATCTTTTTTTTTGTAAATCATTAGGAATATAGGCATTTCAAGTTATGACCTACTGGAGTAGATTTGCTTTTTCCCTCCTTCTTTCATTCATTAGATACTTACTCRTTTATTTTTTGTGCATGAAGTACTCTTCTATTTCTATAAAGTACATTAATAAATGTCATGAGTGACTTTTGTCCTCAAAGAGTCTCCCATGTAGTTCAGAAGATAAAGTTATCTTCTTATCACAACTCACATTAGCAGTGGTCTCCTAACTGGTTTTTCCACCTGCATCCCTTCCACATCCATTACCCACCCAACAGCCAGAATGATCATTTCAAAGTCATCTCACTTCTTTACTTGAAATCTTTCAAGGTACTGTATGTCACTCAAAGTAAAAGRCATCTTTAAAATGCCAGCAAGGCCCTACAGTAACATTCTGTGGCCATTTCTGACCTCAGTTTGTGCTACCCTTTTCCTTACTCTGCTCTAGCCAAACTGTCCACTGGATTCTTGATGCATTTCAAGCATGTTGCCACCTCAGGACATTTGCTCTGGCTGCTCCTCCTGCCTGGAATGCTTTTTCCTCAGACATCACTCTCTTTCTCTCTCTTCAGTTCTTCATTCAAATGACACTCACATGAGACCTACTGTATTGATCTTATATAACATGATATAGTCTTCCTACCCTCATCTTTCTCCTTATGTGGATTTTTTTTTTCATTTCAAACCATTTATCTCCTCTAACAAAACTGTACAACTTAACTATGTTTGTTATCTGTCTCCTTCTAGAAAAATTTAAGTCCCATGAAGTCAGGGATATTTCCTCTTCTGATCACTGCTGCATCCTTGGTGACTAAGACATGATCTGACATATTGTAAGCATTCAAGTAATGATCTGCTGATTTATTGAATGAATAAGTCCAAGAACACAATGGTGTTTGAACTACAGGATGGCTGGAAGAACCCAGCCAAAAACCTTGAACTGAACTGAATTAGCACCATGTTCCACAGTGGACAGTGATGATCTGCTCTTCAAACTTGCTTCCTATGCATCATAAAGGGAAAGAACAATTCCTTTTCCCACCACACACCCACATCACAGAGGAATGCTTCGAGAATTAATTAAATGGTAACATGGAGAAAGCATTTTGATTTTCTGGGAGAAAGCACTTTATTAATTTGAGGCTTTTGATTGTRTGAAAGAATTGTAAGTGACAAAGATGAGAACAATGTTAAAAGGGAGTAACCAAACTACCTTGGCCTTTCCCAGGATAATTGATTTAAAGGTGATATAAGCAGGATGAAGAATGAAATGTGGTTTTACAATTCTTATCCCAAATGATAGATTTTTTAAGCAACACTTTCTTTTTCCAAGTTAACTTTCAATAACTCATAGTATGATATGTTCATTAATGAATTATTCTTCACATTTACAATACTTTTGTCCATTCTGTGTCCATTTTCCTGCTAATTAGAACTTCCATACCAGTGTAAGAGAGCTGGAAAAGAAAAAAAATAAAAACTAAGATTTGTCCATCTGTATTTATTTCTTACTCTTTCCTGTTGAGGTGTTTGAATTCTGATTTAGAGCACTTCCAAAATACCCAATTTTGGGGGTGTGGGGATATAGCCCAATTGGTAGAATGCTTGCCTCACATGCATAAGGTCCTGGGTTCAAACCCCAGTACCACTATATTATATATATATAATTTTTTAAAATACCCAATTGTTAAGTGTGATACACTTCTCAAGTAGCTGGCAAATTAATCAAGTACATATTATGGGTAAGATTCTGAATAATGCTCAAGAAGGAGTACAAAGAGTTGCCACTTTGTTCCTGCCCTTTTGATGTGATGGAACACCACCAGAGAAGGTGTCAAAAGTTTGAGCATTAAAATCTAGGGAATATCATTGGGCAAATTATCTGACCASTCTAAGCCTGTTTCCTGAACTATAAAATATAAGTCAAATTATCTGCCTTGTTTTGCCTTGATATGCAAATTTTTTTATTCCAAGGTGTATTAGTCAGCTTTCTATCACTATAACAAATATCTGATATAATCAACTTATAAATCGAAAAAGTTTACTTGGGCTCACATTTTTGGAGGTTCCAGTCCATATTCGGTTGATACTATTGTTTTTAGGCCTGTGGTGGGACAGTACATCATAGCAGAAGCACGTGGCAGTGCAAAACCTCTCACCCGTGACCAGGAATTGAAAAAAAAAAAAATTAAACAATAGGAAAGGGTCTTCGGTCCCACAATCTGCTTCAAAGGGACACTCTCAATGACTAAAGATCTCTCATTAGGACCCACCTCTTAAAGGTTTCACCACCTTCCAATAGCCCCACCCTGGGGACCAGGAACTTTGGGGGACACTCAAGATCAAAACTATAGCATAAGGAAAATTAATTATTTGGAAAGACAGCCTGGCAGCCTTCCTGTTGACCATATCAGGAGAAACAGTGGCTTAGAAATAGACCATTATTTCTGCTGGGCTGACCCTGGAAGCTGCAATATCTACAATAATTTAAAACAAGGTATYTAACAAGGAGTGTACTGTGTCCAGGGTATGGCAAAGGTGTGTTAAGTCAGTTGCTGTGACCAAAATACCGACTTAGAGGAGGAAAAGCTGATTTTGGCTCATAGTTTGAGAGCTCTCAGTCCATAGGTGGCCAATTTCATAGCTTTGGGCCCACGGCAAGGCAGCACATCATGAGGGAAGGGAAGGCCGAGGCAAGCTACTCAATTCAAGGTGGCTGGTAAGCAGAGAGAGAGGGTGGGGGCTGTACAGGAGGAGCCAGGGGCAAAATAAATACAATCTCCAAGGCACACCCCCAGTGATCCACTTCTACCAGCCTCACCCCACCTGCCTACAGTGATCACCCAGTAATCCATTCAAATTATTAATCCATCAAATAGATTATTCCACTAAATAGGCTGTGGCTCTCAAAATCTAGTCATTTTGCCTCCTGTATTAACACWGGAGCTTTGGAGGAACACCTCATATCCAAACCATAACA